TAGATCACTGTACTTGACCTCTTCCTCTCGCCCTCTCCTGATCAGGAAGTACTGCTTTTTTTTTCTTTTTACATTTAAAACACAATTAAAAGAAATATTATACATGCTTATACAAGAGTTCCTTCTTCCTAAGAATATCAGAACATGCTAGGAAGCTGAATATTAATTTTTTAAGATATGGAATTACAAAACGAGAAACTTCATATTTTCTATGTGGTGGAAAGGAACAAATGTTTAACTTTATTCTTATTAAATATGTGTATGTAAGTGTGTATTTATAACCTGCATATTGATAAAAAACTGAAAGGAAATACAATAAAGTGCTAACGTGATTTTTTGGGTGGTAATAATATGGAGACTTTTCTTCTTTTACTTTTCTGCATGTATTTTCCAAGTTTTTTTCAGTGAATGTTAATTGAAAGTTAAATGATGTCAGGATTGTTACAATACATGATACAAGATGTGTTTTCTACATTCTGAAAATATCCTGATGAAAGGCTGAAACTCAATGTTTTTGCTTTTTTGAAAAGAAATAATTGATTTTTTAATCTTCTGGGAAATGGCAGTTCCTTTTCCTTTTAGCTTGGCCCTTTTATTTTACTAACTGAAACATGGTATGTTTACAGATGTAACATTTGTAGATATCTTAAAGTCTGGCAGGATAGTTTGATGGCTAAGGGTCTAGGGTCAGGAGTCAGAAGACCTGTGCTCAAATCCTGATTTCCTGTTGTCTTGTGTGACCTGAGGTAAATATCTTAAGTTATCTTAAGTCTCAGCTTCCTTATTTATAAAGTAAAGTAATAATAGTACCTCATAGAATTGTCAAGTTTAAATAAAATTATCCATACAAAGTTAAAACTTAGTTCATTGTTTGGCATATGGTAAACATGCCATAAATTTTAGCTCCCCCCCCCCCCCACTCACCCTGGAATTCTAGGACTTCTGCCCTCTTCTTTCAAGCCTAATGTAAAATTGTTGTACATAACATAGGATTTTATAAAAATTAAGTGTAAACATAATCCAAGCAAGACTTTGATATTCATTTCTGATTACAAAGAGTTTATTCAGCCATTTCCCATCCACAGGAATTTCTTACTGCTGTGTTGGTTTCTATGCCCTGTTTCATCATGTGTGTGGCTGGGCCTGTCACTATAGGACCAGTGTGGTTTCCAAAGTGTGGTCTGCATGATGACTTCATGGGCTATAAAGACAACCTCTTAAATCTTTAAGATACATCTATTTTGTGTGTGTGAGCGCAAAATACAACTAGTATATTCAGTGGATTTCATGGGTAATTTTTGGGTAATTGACTATTGAAGAAAAAAGCCAAATTAAAGAAAAATGCTAAGGATAGAATGCTAAAGAAAGTGATAAAAATTGCAAATCCAGGACTTGAGTGACTGAAGTTTAGGACTCTCTGCTTTAGGTCCCCCTCCTTTCTTCCCCTCCCCCTTGAGAGTGTCATTGTGGAGGTGGTTGAGTGGTTCTTCAACGTGGTCTGAAGCTGTCCACCAGGTGCACTGGCTCTGAGGCCTCCCAGGCGGTGCAGGTCAAGGTCAGCTACCGTCTGTGTTCTGCCTGAGGCCACCCAGCATGAACTACAAAGTGATCTGCAGATGGCTGCTACTTATGCTGGGCTTGGAGGTGCCCAAGAGAAGCCAAGCTATGAACCAAAGCCAGCTGCTGCTAGTGCTGGGCCTGGGGCCACTTAGCAAGAGGTACAGGGCATGCTGCTTGTTCCAGAGATTTTTAGGAAAGTCTGAAGCATGATCCAAGATAGACCATTCGTATGGAAAAACCACTGGAAACAGCTTGGGTGGGCCCACACGTTGGTGGGGTGGAGTCTCAGGGAATGACCAGAGTTGGGTGTACAGTGACTCTGGGGGAGGGGGTCAGAAAAGGAACAGTGGCCTCTGCCAGCACATCTGTCTTAGGGAAAACTGCCCCTCCAGCCCTCACCCTGATGCCAGATATTGCAATTCCTCCTTGTATGTCCCTGGTACCTTCTCTTCCCAATACTAGAACCCTGGGCTGGGGGGCCTAGTGTGGGACTGGGACCCCTCACTCTTCAGCGAGGAGCTCCTCAGGAGGGACCTCCACAGCTGAGATAGCCCTCCCAATTTTTGTCCACCACACATGGGTGTGGGACCAGCCCATTCCACCATCTCCTCCCCTCCTACCAGTCTCGATGTGGCTTCTTCTTTATATTCTTAGTTGTAGGACTTCCGTTCAGCTAGATTTCAGGTGGTTCTGAATAATGGTTGTTCTGTAGGATGGTTGCATTTTTGATGTGGTTGTGGGAAGATGCTAGTACTGCATTTATCTGAGGCGCCATCTTGACCAGAAGCCTTAAGTTAATTTTTATTTTTATTTTTTATTTATTTATTTTTAAATATATCTTTATTGATTTCAGAGAGAGGAAAGGAGAGGGAGAGACAGACAGACAGAAACATCAATGATGAGAGAGTCATTGATCGGCTGCAGCCTGCAACCCGGGCATGTGCCCTGACTGGGAATCGAACCCCGAGCGCCTGGATCCTAGGTCGACGCTCAACCGCTGAGCCACGCCCGACCGGGCTTAAGTTAATTTTTAAATGTAAATTAGATCCTAAAATTTTGACGCTTGAGCAGGTACTTAAATTTGCTCTGTTTATTAGATGGAATTTTTTTTGCTGTGATAAGTAGAATTGTCTTTACAACTATTGAATGAGAGCATATTAATATGAGTAAGTATACAGTTTGTGCATAATTCCTTACTCAGTGGGAAGCATAAATTTCATTCCCAGTTAATAAAAATTGTACAAGTAGGATTCATCCAAAGAATGGAGTCATTTTAAAATAATTTGGTGTTTTTTTGGGGGGGAATCTTATCTGATTATAAGAGTTTATTTAATAAAGGCTTTATTTTATATTTCTAAAGATGTGTACATCGTTTTTTATACATCTTTGATGTCATCTTTTTGTGAACAAAAGTTTTTTTCCAGCAATTACCAAAGAATTGGTTAAACAAACTTATGAATTAGTCTATTTGTCTTTCTACATACACGCAAATAGGTATGGCTTCTGATTTTTAAAAAGGAAACCTTAAATGAAGTATACAGACCCCTGGACAGGAATAAAAAGTTAATTTTTATGTCACAGACATATAGATATACTTGTAACATATATGCATTTAGTAGTGCTACTGGGAATGGTAGACCCTTCTATCCTTTCCCCATGTGCTAAATATTATTGATGTACATTCAAAAGCATATAGAACACACATGAACTTTCAGAAGCCCATTTGTTAGCATTTTGTATTTTATACAATAGTTTTTCTTTATACACTTGCTATTGATAAAATGACATACATCCTGGTATTTAGATAAACACTTTATGAAGAAACAGGTATTTTGACTCTTTCAAACATTTGGAAAATTGTCATGTAAACATACTTTAGTATATTCTAACTTCATGGTAACTCTGGTTACTACAATATGTTTATGTATGTGGATGTAAATAGCATTTTAGTAAAAATATGTATGCATATATTAAGCCTCTGCTATGAGCATAATACAGCTCCTTTTGCCCTGATCTTTGTCCCTACAACCTAGGAACTTGACTACTAATCCCTTGTCCTACTGTAAATTTATTGGTAAGATAAGCAAAAGGCAATGCCTCTTTATAAAACTTGGGGAACCTCTGTGTTAGGATTAAATGACTCCATAATGAAATGCAGAGATTTCCTGACCCCATACTTCAGAGTAATCAGCCATTGATGGTTTGTCTATGAAATCCTAGCCCTTCATTTACTATTTCTAAGCAGAGAGAGAAAAAAAACAACCTAGTCACTCAGTATTCTTAGGCTACTCTTGTATGGCTTCCTGCATAGTTACTTGCAGGAGTTTCCTTGTCTGCAATTGAAGGAATTTTTAGTTAGTAGAATTTCAGGTAGTGTGAGAGAGGGATTTGCAGCTATCAAGGTCAATTTATTTAATTATGTACACCCATAGTGTAAGTTTGGCCCAGGAAGGGGAAGAGAAAGTAGTATTTTGTAGATTTCTCTCCTTTACTGCTCTGATCATTGTTAAGCTATGCTCCTTCCCTCATCATTACTAATCAATGTCTTCTCTGTTTCAGTTTGCATGCCCTGGAGTAGCCAGGCACAATTATTAATTATTGGGAAGTAGAAAGGTTACCTGGTGTTTCCAGCCTCAAAGGTTTAATGAAAAAAAGAACATATTTTGAAGCCACCATTTTGACAAACTTACTTTGAAGGAAACAGAAGAAAATACTAAATAGTTGTATGCCTTCCCTATGAACCTAAACACTAATCAATGTTTTATTATTGAGAAATGTAAGCAACAGGCATTCTCATTCCTATCCCTGACCCCCTCCACCTTTCTCTTTACTGTCTCTCTCCTCTTTGATCTTTTCTGCATTGCTGCCATCCTGCTCCAGATGTTGATCTCACCTGAAGCACCATATCCAAAACACACTAGTTTTTTTCCTTGTTTATTTAGATTCTCTTAAAAGATATTTACTCAGATGGACCACAGAATCCAACCCATGACTCAGTTCCATAGTTTGCCAGTGTACTGTGAGGACAGGGTGGCAGCAGTCTTGTGGTTGATTAAGACTTCCTAGGGGCGCTGAATATCAATTCACTTGGGCAGTAGTGCCTCTAATTTATATTCTTGCAGAGTTTGAGGAAGTGGAACACTGTCAATTATTAAAATGTTTTTTATTGGCTATTAGTGCCCTACAGATTAACTGCTTGCTCTTTTTCTGTACACAGTATCTATATGTATTTCACCAAAATTAATTTTGCATGTTATGGTAGGAAATTAAATTTTTTGCAGTCATATAGAAATTGACTAATTTTAAATGGAATCTATTCTTTCTCTTGTTAATTCTTTTACCATATGAGAAGGTGTACTATATCCAAAGAGAAAATATTTCTTGTTGTAACTATTGTCATGAGTTCATTTAAAAATGTAATAATCACTTTTGTCTTATAGGACAAACTATTCGAGAGAAAAGAATTATAGAAGCAGCAAATAAAAGAGAAGTAGACTATGAATTAGGGAATATCCCAACAGAATGGGAAGGTAAGTTTCTGTTTTTAATAATATCTTCTGGAAGGTAAATTGTTTAACTATATACAAATTCAGTAAGAGCACATATAATTGCAATTTTATTCTTTTTGTAGAAAATTTTACAATCTAAGTCCATGAAACCTTTTTGAAACATTACATTTCTTTGAAAATTGTGGAGGTGCCACATTTTACTAAAGGAACACATGATAGTGAAATACTGAGGGAACACACGTAATATGAAAAGAACTGTTAAACATTAGCAGAGCTGGGACTAGGGCGAGTGAAGCTCCAAAGATAAAGATGGAAGGAGGCACTCACTTTCATGTGCTGACAGTGCACTTGCACAACCCCAGGGGTTGAATCCTGTTTCTGGTACTCACCACCCACATGGGCCTGGGAAGGTAATTCATGCTTCCCAGTCTTGCCTTTTTCTATAATTGTGTATAACTTGCTGTAAATAGCATTTGAAGTATTTGTTCAACTTACCATGACCCTGTTAGCTGATCCCCTGTTTAGATAAGGATGGACACTTGATCCCTATCAAACACTGGAATTAAGGTAAAAGATCAAAGAGATAGAACAGGAGCAGTCTCTCAGTGTGGCTGGAACAGTAACATTTGAACTTGGTAGCTTGTGGGTGGCTATCTTCAATCCACTATCTAAGCTTTGTTGCAGAAAAAGCTGATCTACTTAGAAGAAAACGGAAACCAGTCTGCCAGAAGTGTATAGGGAGACACAGACTGTTTCCTAGGTTTCCAGCAGCTTTCCAGTTCCCAGTTTCATTTCTTTCTGAATGAAGTTCAGCTGCAAGTCTGCCTTTGACTTGTTATAAATTTTCACTTTTTCCTTACCAGTTCTTAGCCTAGTGCGTGGCACACAGGGAGTCATGTAGTAAGTGCTCAGTAAATATATATTGACTACATGAAATCTAGCCTGAGTAATAGGTAGGGAATCTAAGATCTGAAACTATTAGATAAATTGCCTAGGTTCTACAGCTATACACACTCTAAGCAGTAGACCCATTGCTTCCTGGTGGGTGTAGCATGATACCTTACATATGGTAGCTGTAGGCATTAAGTTACTTTTATGCCAGCATGTGAATGTAAATATTTCCCTGGAAATATATTTTTCCATTTCTTTTATTAGCTATGAAAATACTAGAACTATGAGAAAAGAACATTAAAATGGGCAGATACCAGAGACTTTTTGAAGAAATACAGAATATAAACTGGCAACTTCTAGAAGGAGTAAATTGAGCTTTCTTATTTTAACAGACTTTCCAATGTTGTAAGCTACATTTGCAATTCTCGAATAATGCTTGTTCCTTCTTATAATGAGCCTATTTTATCATTTTCCCCAATAATAGTATAGAATTAAAATGTGTATAGAAATAAATTAAGTTATAAATAAACAAATAGGTAATGACTCATTTTTTTAGCCTTTGCAACTTTCAGAGAATTAGAATGAAGTTCTAATGCTTTTTATGGCTCTGTCCTAATCTAGTAATTCAGCATAACTATCCCGTAGGGCATACCCTAAAAACAAATGGATCAACCAAATACTGAAACTAAAATTATTTCTCTAGTGTTACACATCCATTAAATGTAAAAAATAGGAATTTCATACCATGAAAATGTAAATTAAAATACAAGTAAACACACAGAACACTATATACAAGAAAGGAAAGAGAAAAAATCTTTTAAAGTAAATAGTGTCAACACCAAATGAATCTAAACTACTTTAAGGTCCAGATGTATATTATATTTGTCAATTATTAGTAGCAAAGTACAGGTACCCACAAGCTGCATATACTGCCACAGTATGTATTAGTGTGCCCTTTTCATTTATTTATTTAGTAAACATCTATTGTGGACCTCTGCATTCATGGACTTTTAGTTCTGGAGTGGGAGAGGGAGAGGGAGAAAGACAATAAACCAGACAAATAATTATATAGTATGTTAAAGAAAATAAAGCAGGGAAAGAAATTAGAGAGTGTCAGAGACAGTTTTGCAGTTTTAAGAAGTGTAAGGAAACGGCCTTGCTGAGAAGATGACTTGAATATAGGCAGAGAAAAGAGACAGCCATACAGATAAGCAGCAGAGGAGCATTCCTGAAGAGCAAGTGCAAAAGCCCTGAGGCAGGAGCATGCTCATGCGGTTAAGGAACAGCAAGGAAGCTGAGTGACTGGAATAGAGCCAGAAGGAAGATAATAGATAAGGATAGGGAAGTAACAGGCTGCCCAATCATATAGGGCCTTGTAAGCTAGTTTGAAAAGAGTGGTCAGATGCTCTGAGTGATATTTAACAGGATCACTCTGGCTGCTGCATTGCGAAGAGACTTCGGAGGATTTAGGAGACACGGGGACATGGAGACAGGAGGCTCTTGTAATAATTTGGGCAAGGAATAATTGTGATTTGCACCAGAGTAGCAGTGGGTATGGAAAGAAGTAATCGCATTCTCAATCTGTTGTAAAAGTAGAGCCAATGGGATTTGCTCACAGATTGGATGTGGACTGTGAAAGAAAGAAAGGAATCAGTGATGACTCAAGCTTTTGGGCCTCACCTGGGAAAATGGAGTTGCTGTTGACTGAGAGACTGGACTGTGGGAGGAGCAAATTTGGGGGGGAAATGGGATCAATTTTGGAAACATTAAGTTCGAGATGCATATTATACATCTAAGTAGAGATAGTAAGTTGTATATAAGCCAAGAATTTAGTGGAAAAATTTGGGTTGCAGATAAAATTTGGAAGTTGATAGCAAATAAATGGTAATTAAAACCAGGAGACTGGATGAGATCACAAAGGGAATAAGTTTAAATGGAAAATGAGAAGGTTTACTACAAGATTTAGAGACAGAAAAGGAACAGCCAGAAAAGTAGGAGAAAAAAAGAATAGTGTAATGTTCTAGAAGACAAATGTCAAGGAGGAGGAAGTGATCAACCATGTCAAATAAGGAATGAGAATTAACTGTTTGCTTTAAAAACAGGGAAGTCAGTGATTCTGACAAAAATGGTTCTATAGAGTGTTAGGAACAAAAGCCTATAGGAAAAAGAATGGCAAGAGAGAATTTGGAGAGAATGAATGTAGACAGTGCTTATGAGGAGTTAGTTTATCTGCAAAAGAAAGGAGAGTATTGAGACAGTACCTGGAGAGGGAAGTGGAGTCAAGAGAGTAATTTTATGTTTTGTTTTGTTTTGTTTTGTTTTGTTTTGTTTTGTTTTGTTTTAAAGATGGGAGAAGTAACTGAATTTTGTAATGGTAATGGAAAATATCAAGTCAGAAAGGAAGCATTAATGATGCAGGAGAGACAAAATTGTTGAGAAAGCAAGGTGAGAGAGGATCTAGTACACCTGTGAAAGAGCATGGAAAGTTCATCTGTAGTAATAGCAGAAAAGTAAAGTATATGGATGTAGGTGCAGGTAGACAGGTAGATGTGGTGGTGAGAACTTATATAAATTCCCTTTTGATTACTCCAAATGAAGCACAGAGAAGTTAAATAGTTTCCAAGTTACAAACAGCAGCTACAGACAAGATTTGAACCCAAAAATGTTTGTCTCCAAAGTCTTTATTCTTAATATTATATTATATTGCCTACCTCACTAACAAGCTGGCTAATTCCTACTTATCCTTCAAGTTTTAGAATAGACATTGATTCCTTTGGAAATCTTTTCTGACCCCACCTCTTACCCCCTAGTGCTAATGGGGATATTCCTTTTTCTTTGTTTTTTATTTCACTTTATGCCTCCCTCAAATATAACACTTAATACATTGTAAAGTATTCTCTGTTTACTTAACTACCTCCTGTCCCTGGACTTAAAGATTCTTAAGGATAGGATCTTCACGATATTCATCATTGTAGTCTCAGGGCCTACCTCAACAATTACCATAAAATAAGTGCAAGCTCAATCAATATTTATTGAATGAATGCATTCTAAACTTAAAGCAGATAAGGAAGAGACATTTGGGGGACTTTGCTGACCTTCAGCAAATAGTCCATGTTAAAAAGAAATACATGGAGTTGTATGGCTTCAGGCCTTACATTAAGTCTTTAATCCATTTTGAGTTTATTTTTGTATATGGTGTAAGAGAGGTGCCATTTCATTTTTTAGCATGTATCTGTCCAGTTTTCCCAGTACCACTGTTGAAGAGACAGTCGTTACTCCATTGTATATTTTTACCTCCTTGTCATGTATTAGTTGACCATATAAGTGAGGGTTTATTTCTGGCCTCTGTATTTTGCTCCATTGATCTATGTGTCTTTTTTTGTGCCAGTACCTTACTGTTTTGATTATTATAACTTTGTAGTATAGTTTGAGATGATAGAGTGTGATACTTCCAATTTTGTTCTTTTTTTTTCAAGATTGCTTTGGCTTTTCAGGGTCTTCTGTGGTTCCATATAAATTTTAGGATTACTTGTTCTAGTTCTGAGAAGAATGACATTGGTATTTTGATAGGAATTACATTGAATCTCTAAATTGCTTTGGGTAGTATGGTAATTTTAACAATATTAATCCTTCCTACCCACGAGCATGGTATATCCTTTCATTTATTTCTGTCCTCAATTTATTTCTTCAATGTCTTATAGTTTTCAGAATAGAGGTCTTTCACCTCCGTGGTTAAGTTTATTTCCAGGTATTTTATTCTTTTTGATGCAATTGTGAATAGGATTATTTTCTTCATTTCTTCTTCTGATTGCTCATTATTACTATATTAATTTTCTGACTATCCTGCTATCTTACTGAATAATTTATTCTACTAACTTTTGGTGGATTCTGTAGTATTTTCTATATATAGCATCATGTCATCTGCAAAGAGCGACAGTTTTACATCTCCCTTTCCTGTTTGTGTACCTTTTATTTCTTTTTCTTGTCTGCTTGCTATGCTTAGTCTATGTTCATTGCAGCATTATTTACAATAGCCAAGATATGGAAGCAACCTAGGCGTCTATCGATAGATGAATGGATAAAGATGTGTTACACACTCACACGTACACAATGAAATATTACACAGCAAT